TTTTTTTTAATAAAAAATGTGATCAGAGGTAGGTAGTTTTTTTTATGGATATCAACACAACGAAAAATTTAAAGTTGCATAATAAATCTCTATTACAAGAATTAATCAAAGATTGGTTTAGTAAAATTATTTACTTGTAATATTTTTTTATTCACCGTGAAAGCTAATACAATATAGAAAGCACTGAAACTCTATAATCATTTCCACTCTTTTTTTTTTTAAAATATGTACTGAAATTTGAAATTTTTTCAACAAACATTTTAAAAAGTTACAGTATCAAAATTATTTCTTATTTTAAGTAGGGAGACTATTAGAGCATTTAAAAGTGTCTTTAATGCTTTTTATCAAAAGTACTTATTTTCACATGGTGACAAAAAAAATTATCTACGTGAAAATAATTTTACAAAATCAATTTCAGAGTGATCTGTGTAGGGTGAAATTTATTATGTAATTTTAAATTTAGCGGCGTCAGAATACCTAAAACTAATATTGAGTAGGTAGGTATATAGTTGTAGAGCGTACAACTAGATGGCGTTTGCATCTTTTACCGGCTACAGGTAATTTAACTCACTGTATTACCGATAATTCCTAGAAAAGAAAAGCAATAGAAGTTGGAGAAAGTGTCAACAGTTAGCGCTGTTAATGACCACGAAATTTGTTCAAGTTTCCTATCTATAGTATCATTTATCTAGGACTAACATCAAACCGCAGATTACACGTAAGTACCCGAAAAATATACGAGTGAAATCGAAGGGCTTGCCCGGAGAGTAGAGTTATTTTAGGTAATTCAATTATGTATATTCAAATGATAATTTATTAAAAATCTGATTGAAATAAAAAAAATATATTAAATAGAAGCTATTTTTTTTAATCGAACAGTTGCTTTATTATTTGAAAAAATAAATAAATATGTATCGAATTTAAAAGTCCTAAAAATAATTTATATCACTTCCATATTTACAAACTCGAATCTATTAAAATATTGAAAATTTTTCAGCAATCACTCTTAATTTAGTTTAACAGTAACGCTTCAAAATAACCTTAATAAATATAATTGTCAAAGAACATTCAACATATCATAGATATTTATTTTTTAACGCGATTTACAAATTATTATAAAACGGTTTATTACTTCGTTTACTAATATTTGTTTTCTGGAATACCTTTGCAGGGAAAAATTGTTCTAATGTTCAAAAATTCATTTAAAGAACAAAATTACAGCACATAAATATACATATATTTCCAACCGCTGCTGGCTGGCTGGCGAAAAGCCGTAGCTGGCCGATACAACACTCGATGAGTATGCGGGTGCGGGCTGTGTCCGGGCTCGCCCGACTTGGGCTAGATATTCTAAATTAGTGAACGACTTACGTTTCCGATTACTCTCTAGTCCTAGCCCTGCGTATAAGCAGGCAACGTACGGCGTTGTTTAATTCAGCGGCCACGGGCTGGCCCGAATGTTATGTTGGTTGCTGCCGAGATCATCCCAAAAATAATTTACATCACTCCCATGTTTACAAACTAGAATCTATTCAAATATTGAAAATTTCTCAGCAATCACTTTTAATTCAGTTTAACAGTAACGAGTTAAAATAACCTTAATAATTATAATTATCAAAGAACATTCAACATAGCACCATAGATATTTATTTTTTTACGCGATTTACAAATTATTATAAAACGGTTTATTATTTCGTTTACTAAAATTTGTTTTCTGGAATACCTTTGCAGGGAAAAATTGTTCTAATATTTAAAAATTCATTTAAAGAACAAAATTACAGCAAATAAATATACGTATATATATTTCCAACCACTGGTGAAAAGTCTTAGGTGGTCGATACAACACTCGATGGGTGCTCAATGGGTATATGCGAGCTGTGTGCGGTGTGCGGGCTCGCCCGACTTGGGCCAAATATTCTAAATTAGTGAACGACTTACGTTTCCGATTACTGTCTAGTCCTAGGTGCGTATAAGCATGCAAGGTATGGTTGGGGTACGGCGTTGTTTAATTCAGCGGCCACGGGCTAGCCCGAATGTTATGTTGGTTGCTGCCGAGATCATGATTAAAATATAATTTTAAAATTTGGTAGGGGGAGTTTCAAAGGAGGTAACGCATTTTAGATTTAATTTTATAAGAATTGTCAAATCACTTTGATAAATATATACACAAATTTTTGTTTATTCTTCTGAAAATTTCAGGGTGGGCACTGACCACCCTGCCCACCCCGACGAGCCGCCACTGAGTTTACGGAATAGTAGATATCCAGTACTGAAAAGGCCAAAGGAAAATGTACGTATCGTCCAAGAATCTAGTGATCATCAGCAGCAAAAACTCTTTTTCGTTGAAATGCAAAAATGAGTTGGTTAATTCATCTTGACCCTGAATTTCATGTTGATCTTTGTTTAAAATGATCTTAACAGTTATTAGAAATTAAAATTGGTTTTTTTTAAAGGTTTGTAACATTATTTAATTATGTAAATATTACGCGTAAGTACATAAAAACTTACGGTACCTAATAGTCCAGGCTTTAATGTCGCTACCGCTAGGAACATGATTCTCATTCGATTTTTTTTCATAATCTTCCTAAAAAAATGCCCCTTGAAACATATCCGCATGTTGCCAGGCGTTACTAATGGTCAAAAATTGTTTAAACAATTTTTTTTAAACAAATTCGTAATTTTCGTTTTTTCGCTCGAAAAATTGTCTAAGGCTTTTTGGGGTATTCTGCATGAACAAAAAAGGTCCTATGCAACTTTTCTCTAAAATCTACTGTTTTCGAGATATTAACGATTTTTTGTTCGAAAAAAACGCGATTTTAACCATTTTCAACGTCAATAAACTATATTAAAAATTCCAATTTTTAGTGTTGCCAAAATTCTTAAATAATCTTTGAGCATCCCTTAACAAAAATCCGAAGAGTTACGCCGGCATATTTTATTCTGAAAACTTTTTTTTTATTGTTAATAAGTCACGCGCCCCGGGTTTCTCGGCCGCTCTTGACCGCCTCCGTATACTGCGTCTCCCTCGCACTCACTCGAAGTATACAGGGTGTCTCCGTTTTTGCGTTCTTAACTTTGGGAAGTGATAGAGCGTGAAGAAATAATAGGAATCTTTCCTATAACATTTTTCCCTATAGCGCTCCGTTTTCGTGATACAGGGCGTTCAACTCTCAAAAAAATATGTTATTTTCTTTATTATCTACTAAACAAACAAATACTTTTTGTTGAAACTTGGTATACAGTAATCATAATAAAAGGTTAATATTTTGACGTGAATAACTTTTTCCAGCTATGGCCAGTGGCGTAGACATGGGATTTTGTTCTGTTTTGAACCCCCTAAACTTAAACGCCAGTGGTGAAAAGTATTTTTTCAATACAAATATTAACAACTTATTTTAATTTTATGAAAAAACTGCTCTTGATAAAATTCGCTAGGAAGCTTCGTTCTTGAAATATTTAGTCTTTTTCTAATCAGGGTTATCTTAAGCATTACAAAAATTTTACGATTAAGCAGTCATTGCTTGTTTCTAAGTTTGTAACAATAGTATTGACAGATGTCATGTCAAATCAGTTTGTTTGCTGTGCGGTCAGAGTTTGTCGAAGTGTTAGTGTTAGTGATGCCTTTTAGATTTACGAGTCAAGAATATGCAAATATTCATTTTGTTTATGGATTTTGTAACGGAAATTCCATCGCAGCTGCAACAGAATACCGAAGACGATTTCCGAATGCAAGACATCCATCTCCAGCGGTATTTAGAAGAGTTCATCAACTTTTTTCGGAAAATGGTCTTGTGCTTAGGAGAGAACAAGGTAGA